GGGATGAACCAGGACGGGGTGAACTGGTTGGGGTGGGCTGAACCGGGGCACGGCTCAACCGGGAATAGCTGAACGGTGATGGAACGGGCGGAACCGGGGCATGGCTCAACCGGGAATGGCTGAACAGGGACAGGAGGGGCTTAACCGGGGCACGACTCAACCGGGACGAACTGAAGCAGGGCACACTGGAACTGGGACAGGTCACAGCCCGTCCGAGGCACAGATGTACCAGGAAGGGATACAGACGGACCGGGAAGGCATAGAAGCAAAGCAGGGCACAGCCGAATCAAGACACAGAGGTACTGGGAGGAGGCACTGCTGAACCGGGCAAGGCCAGTCCCCAGCCCTCTCACGGCGACTCTGGGCACACCCTATGCCCGGATCGGGAGGACCCTGGGCTGTGCCTGCCCCCAAAACGTCTGCTCCAACCCTGGACACATCTCATCGTCCCCCTGTCCCTGGGGACACCTCCAAAATGCTGGGGTGGGGACATCTGCTGCTGCACCTGGAATAAAGGTGATCAAAGCCCCACAGCTCCTGGGCCTGGTGCTGGGGTGTGATGGGATTGGGAGCAGGGACACAGCATGGTACAGCATGATGGCCTGGCACCAGCAAGAGCAGTGGCTGTGGGCACACAGAACAGGGACAGATGCTCTGCAAGGGGATGGATATTCTGCAAGAGGAGGAATGCTGTGCAGGGACAGTGCTCTGCCAGACAGCCCAGCCATGCAGCTGAATTCAGGGTCAGCTCTGGCCCGGCGGTGGGAGCACATGTGGTCCCGCCGTTCTGGGATGGTGTCATGTCCGCAAGAACCACGTCGTCACCCCATGTACAGGCTGGAAAAACCACCCCAAGCATCCCCTGGGCATCTCAGCATCCCTCCGAGTCGGGAGCCTCTGTCCAGGGAGGGGAAAGGCTACTGACTCACCCACCACACCATGAGTCAGCAGCAGGACTGGGACAGGAACTGCAGCCGGACACTTCTGCCTCCTCAGTCATGCTCCTTCCTGGACAGATCCTGTCCTCCCAGGGCAGAAATGGGCTCTGCAGCGTAGTGTGCATGGCAGGAGCTGGCAGTGCTGGCACTGGACAGGGCACGCTTCACCGCTGCCTCTGCGTTTCCGCAGGATCCACTGGGGAGGAAGAGCAGGGTGGGCTGGGGGTGCTGGACAAGGGAAGGGACGGGGGGAGACTCTGGTGCGGCAGAGCTGCATGTGCCACATCAAAGTGGCTGTGCGCCGGGAGGAAGCCCTGCAAGCACTCACAGAGAGCAACCCTGGCCCGAGGCTCCCCGATGGGCCATAAATTTCTCCGAAGAATTGTGGCGTGCTAAAAAGTTTCCTCTTGTTAGAGAGCGGGGGGTGAGGGGAGGAGGCAGCAGCTCCTGCTGCAGCTCCTGTGGCAGCGTGGACATCTCCAAATGGGTGCCCCAAATGGGTGTCCAATGGCAGGGATTGGCATTTGCCCAGGTCCTGTGTGCCCCCAGTGCTGGGCATCTCACGTGGACTCTGCTCACCCCTCTCCCACAGTTTGTGCCCCTCTTCCCTCAGATGAAAGACAGCTGGGACTCCACAAGTGGAAATGAACCAAGGATGCACAGATGCTGCAAGTCCTCTCCTTGCACCCCATGGGGGCTTCTTCCACCTGGGAGACCCACTGCAGGATCTGGTCTTCCAGCTTCCCACCCCCTGCAAACGGTGACGGGGTCCGTGCCAGCGCCAGGGTGCCCTGTGATACTGCTCCAAGGGCTCACTGGAATCAGGACCAGGCACTGTGTCCAAGGTGCTGTGTGAGCATCTCCAGGCCTGACTGGTGCATCCCCAGTGCTGGCACAGTGTGGGC